GAGAAACTGGATCTTTAAAATAAAAGAGCCTGAGAGTAAACTAAGAGTCCCTTAGGAGTCTCCTGGTCTCATTACCCTTGTAAATCTGAAACATAATAACATCGTTCCAGGACCAGTCAATAAGGATAGATTTCTTGCATTCTCCGATATGTCAGGCATTGGAGAGAAGGATGCAAGACAGCAAAGCTGGAAGTGCTTCAGAAAACATGGCCCTCATTTGCATTATCCCATGTTTTTGGAAGGGTGGTTTGTGTATGTACAGGCTGAAATACTATAATTTTGAAGGTCTGAGTGGCAGGGGAGGTTTAAAAAATAATAGAGCTGGATGTCTTTGTTTTTCAGCAGAGAAGCATGCATGAAGGTCAGACTCACTTGCCTGAGCTGAGAATTCAAATTTGCAGATTAATGTTATACTTTAAAGGAGAATACGAGTCTCCTGTACAAAGGTTGACTGAAACATTTTAATAGTTTTTATATAGCAGCATTTTCTACAAGTTTCTTGACACATTTTATTTTCAAGGTGTTTTGCAGAAAAGCCACTGGAAGGATAGTTTTGCCCACCAGCATAGGAGGGACTTGCTGGCACACAGGGCTGCTATAGAGCAGATGGAGAAGAAAATTCTTGCTTTAAACAGGTTCTAAGAGACAAATTGTTTTGTAATGATGGAAATTATACGCTTTTAAGGCCTCTCATGGCTTGCCTTGTTGGAGGTTGAATGGTCTGCTGTGTCTTCCCTTCTAGAATAAATGCAGTCAGTGTGTGTTGTTGTTGCGTTTTTTTTTTAAATCTACTCATTAGGATGCTACTTAATCTGAGTTTTTAAAAAGGCAGTAATTCTTGCATTTCCTGGCTGATCACTCAGGTTAAGACCCAGAGCTACAGGTCTTGGCTGATTTTCATTCAGAGACAAACAGGGAATTACAAATCAAGGCAATGTTTTGCCTGAGTGAGGACTGAGAAAACAAATAGGGTTTTGGAAGTGTCAGTTCTGTCCTGGTCAGTGAGAGTCAAAGAGGAAGCCCACAAAATGCCTGGGGAATCCAGGGGTATCCTGTAAAGGAATTATGAGGAAAGAGCGGAAATGATCTTGTGCTCACTGCACTTCTGACATTGACTTTATACCATCTCTCTTTCTAAATTTTCCAACTTTCTCATTTTTTAACCCCAGACTTTGCTGAAGGAAACATTCACCACAAGGCCTTGCTGATCTCAGTGACTGTTTGCAGCATCCTTCTGGTGCTTATCATCATATTTTTCTACTTCAGGTAAATAAGGAATATTTTGGCAGCTTGTTAATGTTCCTCCCAACATTTATCTTTTTATAGATTTAGGAAATTGAAAAAAAATGGAAGTGGACCTTAAAGAAAAGAAATGAGAAACTGTAATTTTATCATGCAAAAAAAGAGTGTATTTTATTCATGCTGTTCACAGGTATACTTGTGTGACGTATTTTATACAGGATCTTTCACTCAACATCCTTAAAAGCCATTGAGGTAGAAGCACAGATTATTCTTTACTGAGAAGAAGACAAAGGACAAATTTTATAGGGAAATTTTTGTAAGGGAAGTCTATCTAATACTTATAAACTTGTTTATGTGATGAAGACCTGATCATAAAAAAAAGAAGAAAAGACAGGGATGACAGTAAATGTGTCTAGAATATTATCATAATCTACATATTTTACATTTTAATAATTTGGCACATTTTTTACATATTCCCAGATTGCATGACTTTACCTCCTCTGGCTCCTGAAAATGCACTGCAGACAGTAAAATAAAGTTACTTACTTGATCAGGGTATTAGACATATTTAAGTTTCTGAAAGGAAAACATTTGATTGCTTTGCAAGTTTACCCCAGACTGCATGGCCTGTGAAAGTTATACTTAGAATTTTGATGATGAAAACAGTTGCTAAAAATAAAATAAAATATTTTGGCCAGCAAGTCCAGTGTATTCCTCAGGGAAGCAGAGAAATCTGTTAGTCTATAAATGAAGGAAATGTGAAGGACACGTGCATTATTGCACATGTGTTCATTGTATTCAAAACTCATTCCGTTTTCGTGTAAAACATCAGGTACAAACGCCAAGAGACGAGGCCCCACTACAGCATCGGGCTGGAGCAGGATGAGACCTACATTCCCCCCGGAGAGTCCCTGAAGGATTTGATCGAGCAGTCCCAGAGCTCAGGGAGCGGTTCCGGGCTCCCTCTCCTGGTAAGGAAGCAATACTAGTTAAATGCACATTTCAAAGGCAAACATCTGTAGAGGGAGAAGAGGCACAAGAAATACATGTGCATGTCCTCAGTTCTTTTTTT